TCATGCCAGTAGTATACCCCTGCAGTTGTAAAAGTGGATTGGTCTTAGTGTTGTCTGTGTGGCATAGCCAGTTCATTGCAACAGAGATTTCAGTCCCCTGGAAGTTTTGTTCTGATTGATCAGTAGAAAGGCTACATTTTAGTCACGAGTATTTTTAGTAAAAGTCATGGACAGGTCACAGGCAGTAAACAAAAATTCATGGCCCATGGCCATGACTTTTACTTTATACCCCTGACTAAAACTTGGGCGGGGGGGGGGGGGGCGGCCCGGGGAACACCATGGATGCTTGGGGGGTGGCCCAAGGGGTGCTGTGGGTACTTGGAAGGAGGGGCGGCCTGAGGGGGCATCACGGGTGCTCAGCGGTGGGGGAAACAGGGGGATGTGGCCCGGGAGATGCTATGGGTGCTGGGGGGAGTGGGAGGGGTGGCAGGGCTGGGGCAGCTCCCTACCTGGCTCCTGGGAAGTGGCGACCTCCCGCCCCTAGCTCTATGTGCTGCTTCCGCTCCACCCCAAGCCCCAATTCTGCAGCCCCCATTGGCTGGGAACTGCAGTGCCCTGCACCCCAGCCCTGAACCCCCCCCCACCACACACACCCAAAGTCCTTCTGCTGGGAGGTGGTGGGGCTGAAACTGCCCCAGCAGTGGCCAGTGCACCTGGCTTGGGGGCTGCCTGAGCTGCCCCAGGCGCACTGGCTGCTGCAGAAGTCATGGAGGTCACAGAAAGTCACAGAATCCATGACCTCTGTGACAAACATGGAGCCTTAATCAGTAGCCATGCCTTTTGTCTTACTGTTTAAATCTTACAGATTTCTTTTCTCTATCTCACTTTTTTCAATTGATATTTTTTAATGAAGTTTTCAGTGAAACTGTCAGTATCATGGATTTATTCTTAAGATGACTGTTTCCATAGCTCCACATTCCTGAAGATTGTTCAGGCAAAAGATCCACAGAAACAACTGCTATATAATTATTAAATACTAAAATAGCATGTAGCAGGCAGCTAACCCTGTGATTAACTGTGGATGGGTGTTTACCCCATGTGACTTTCCTATGAACTGGTTGTCTAAAGAAGAATCCATTTTATTTACTCTTACAATTTTGAATTATGTCACACAATGTATGTCATATTTCCTTGATAAAATAATTGGTATATATTGGTGAAATGTGTCTTTTTAATAGCTCTAGACATTCAGTACAGACTATTTGAGTGTGGCGGGGGCTTCCATGCAGATGGATCTTAAACAAAGCAATCAACATCCCTACACATCAGTAGTTGGCAGCCTTTCAGAAGTGGTGTGCCAAGTCTTCATTGATTCACTGTAATTTAAGGTTTCGCATGCCCAGAAGGTCGGTCGGTCTCTCTCTCTCTCTGTCATTATTATATAACTAAACTATTGTTGAATGTAAAGCAAATAAGGTTTTTAAAACGTTTAAGAGGCTTCATTTAAAATTAAATTAAAATGCAGATCTTATCAGTTTAATGTGATGCTTTTCCTTGCTGAATTTTCCAATGTCTGGCCCGTATTTGGATACTTTAAGCTGCACGCAGGCTTCTGAGTGAAAATACCTGTACACACAGGTATGTGGATCCAAATGCTGAAAGCATTGCAAATGCAATTTTATTCAAACAGTTAAATTTCACTGACAGGGACGTCCAGCAGGTCAGAAGAGAGGCCGCATGATCTCTCTCGGGAGGGTCAAGTGCACTCTGCAGATCTCCAAACTTTTCCCACAATTCTGAGCTATTTAACTGAATGAGCTGTATTTCGAAATCTTCAACTCCTATCCACTGAAATACAGACAAATCCAAGTTGCCTTCATTGAACTTTTCAGGTTTAATTAGAAAAGAAAGCATTGGGCCAAATCGCTGGAAATCTTGAAATCTGTCAGAAAATTCTGATTTCAGTTCTTACATGTACATTCCAATCTCATTGATACTGACAGTGTAATGTGTCAATAGCTCTTTTATGTGTTGGAAGTAGCGGAAAGTCAAAGTTTGAATACCCCGAGGAAAAAACTGCTAGTTTTACAACAAATAGCTTCCAGATTTCATAAAGATCCAGAACCATTTGCCCTGCACTCTGGAGACAGAGGTTGAGTTCGTTTAGGTGAGCGGTGATGTCAGTTAGAAACATGAGCTTATGCAGCCATTTGTCATCATCCAGTTCGGGGTAGTTTTGTCCTTTTTCTGATAAAAAAGCCTTGATTGCATCAAAACAGTTTACAAATCACACCGAAACCTTGCCATGACTTAGCCACCAAATGTTGCTGTGAAGTGAAATGTCGTTATAAGCATTGTCCATCTCTTCTAGCAGTGCTTGAAACTGTCTTTGAGTCAAAGTAGATCGAGCAACAAGGAAATTCACAATTTGTACCACTGTATTCACCACATGATTAAGCTCTGAATTAGAAATTTTAGCACACAGGTTTTCCTGATGGATGATACAGTGAAATTTAACTGTCGGGCAGCCAATTTGATCTTCAAGTAACTTTACAGTTCCCTTCTGTTTTCTGACCATGGCAGGAGCACCATCAGTTGTCACACACAATATTTTTCTGATGTCAACTCCTCGTTCTTCAAAATGGTTTACAAAACTTTCCACTATATCTTCCCCCTTTGTTGTGCCATGCAGGGGTTTTAGGCAACAAAGTTCCTCTTGGATTTCATTGGAAGCAACATATCTTGCAACAACTGCCAAACGTAGAACATCGTTTATATCCACGCTCTCATCAACTGCAACGCTAAACACTGCTGTCTTTTAATTCAGTTGTCTGCTTTTTGTTAATGTTTTCTGCCATTTTGCTTACGTGTCTCTCAACTGTTTTGGCAGAGACAGGCAGTTCTTTTATTCTAGATACGATCGCATTTTTATTTGGCAAATCATTGAACAAAACCTCCGACCTGCTGAGAAAAACTTTTTATATATTCCCCACCTGTAAACAGCTTTCAATTTTTTGCAATGCACTGTGCAGTCTTGTAATGTCCTTCTGTAGCTTGATTTTTACTTAAGCATTTAAAAACACTGCTTTGCTTCTCATATCCTGCTACTGCCTTTTTGATCGATTCTGTCTTGTCTGCTTCGTCAAGGAAGGTTTTCTCATGCTTCGTTTGAAAATGTCGTCGAACACTTGATGTGTGACAAACTTTCACAACAGAAAGCACAAACAGCACGGTCCTTCTTTTGAATAAATCCAAATGTGTCTGTCCAAGAAGGCTGAAATGAACGGACATCTAACTTTGCTTTCTTAGGAGCTGACATTTTTGTCAAATGTATCTCTCAACTCACAGTGGAAAAAAGAAATCGCGACAGACGGCATGCACAACATCAAACACAGTGTGCTGTTCCTAGTGGCGTGATTGTGATGTAAGCAGCAAATCGGGACTTAAAAATACCCCAGTGGTGCTGGAACAATTTTTAAGGTGGGGATGCTGAGCTGCGTCCTCTCTTGCCCCTGTCTGCACCTCTCACTGCCCCAGGCTGGGGCCAGTGGGCCACAGCTGGGGACAGCTGCAGAGTGCCAGGCCGAGGCCAGGAGCAGAGCCCTGGGCTGGCAGCTGGGACCCCAGGCCAGCAGCGGAGCCACCTGGACTGGTGGCCGGGACCCGGGGCCGGCAGTGGACTGAGTGGGGCCGACGGCCGGGACCCCGGCTGGCAGGGGGCAGACGGCTGGTACCCCAGGCGGGCAGCGGAGCCCCCGGGACCGGCGGCTGGTATGCCAGGCTGGCAGGGGGCTGGCGGCTGGTACGCCAGGCCGGCAGCGGAGCTTCTGGGACCGGTGGCCGGGACCCCAGCTGGCAGGGGGCCGGCGAATGGAACCCCAGGCCGGCAGCAGAGCCACGCGGCCGGTGGACAGGACCTGGGCAGTGTGAGTGCCACTGAAAATCAGCTCGTGTGCTGCAGGTTGCTGACCCCTGCTATACATGTTGTGTGAAAGGGCGAGTGAGGGAACTAAGAGAGAGAGAAAATGAAAAGGCAACTGTGGGAATGGAGAGGGAAAAGCAACACTTTTTAAAAACTGTTAATCTCTCCCCAAAATGCCAAACTGCCTTTTCTGTCATAGTTTGTGGACCTCCAGCCATTTTTAACTCTGTTGTAAATTGAAATGGCAGCCAAGAACATAGGAATGGAAGAAGGTTTCCAAGGAATCTTTTAAAAGTTATATATGTGCATATTGGGGCTTTTTATTAGTCTGTAGTTTTCTGTTCTACCTCTACTAGCAACTTGTTTCCTAGAAGAAGGCTATAATGCATGAATATCCTGAAACTTGTTTTAATTTTTTTCCTAAGAAATTAATGGTAGCAGATTTTAGGACCCTGCATCAGGATCCGGGGCTCATATGATCTGTACTGCTACAGGTCCACCATCTCCCCTCCACCCAAAAAGCTGCTGCAGCTGAGGCAGTCCTTTGTTATGGTGTTTAACTTTGTTGGACAAAACCTTGAATGATAAACTGCATGCAGAGAGACGGGAAGAGATAAATTGTGTAAATTAGAAAAGAGCACTGTTGTATTAAGGTATTTTGTGGGGAAAAGTGAGAGAAGAAAGAAACAGGAAAAAATGGGGTTGGGGAGAAATATAGAGAATATGGTGTGGGAAAAGCAGTTATATAAGGGGTCTGTGGTGGGGCAAAAGAAAAATATGAGAGTTATTGAACATAATTCAGGAAAAGATTCAGCAAAATCTATTGCAGAAAAGGAGAAAGAGAGGAGTGAAGCCAGGAAGGGACTGAAGGTTTAACAAAGGCAAGAGAAATTTAATAGGTTACGTTCCTTTTAATTTAAATAATTGATTGAAAATATACTATTAAATAAAGTCTACAGTAAACTGCACACATCTGATTCCCATAACCTGTAGGAGACATGGCATTAAAAGAAAAGAGGAATGTTTATTTTTTAGTTATTTTCCCTCTTAGCTACTTTGGCTTAGTCGTAGAGTTAGTTACGTATTTTTGTTGTAGCCGCTGTATTACTATAATATTTGCTGTCGTTTTATTTTAAAGGTGTTTTGAAAAAGTCTGATGGTTGGGTTGGCTTAGGTTGCTGTGAACTAGCTATTGTTGTGGAATGTCGACAAGCATGTAAACAGGTGAGGTTTTCTAATTTTCTTCCATGATCAGTATTAAACATAACAGAACACTGCAGTTTGTGAACAGTAATATGGCAAGTTAAATTCATTTATTATATCTACACCTTTACACTTTATTTAATTTTGGGGGAAATATTCTGCAATTACTTTTAGAACTATGAAATAGGTGAAGAAATCATTTTCTGTGTACACCTATGATGCATCCCATCGTGTACTTGGTTAACTGAAGCTCTGTCCTTTTTTTTTTTTTTTTTTAAGTCTAAATTGAACCTCATCAAATCTTTTGCAGTATTTTTTGGGGAGGGGGAGGACCTAAACCAGTTTTAGTTCTCTTCTTGGAAATTAACAGGCCAAAATTTAGATTTATAGCTCTTCAATCTAAAAGTGTTCAGGATAACAATAGGGTGACCTTTGGAGGAAAAAGGGAATGCAGGAAGAAAATATTAATAAAATGTTTTATTTTATATTTTATAATAATATTTTATAAAAAACCCTAAATATTAGTAAAATAAATTAGGAAAGAAAAAAATTATATGATCTTGTATCTTTCTAAGTATGTTTTCCTTTTAATTGTGTTGGAAGAGTTGTACTGGATTTGTGGCTGAGGACTTTCAGAGGTGGAATGGGGACTATTAGCAGACCCTGGGGAGAGCATTTCCAGAGAGGTAGTTACCTTGCAGGAGTATGGGTAGTGAGGCATGACTAGGGGTCATGGTTGTGGGGGCAGAGAATGGAGTCTGGTAGTGAACACACAGGAGGTTTACCAGCTAAGGCAATGGTAAATTGTAGCTTTTATCTTTTGTTCTGATGCCCTTCAGGAACCCTCAAGCCACCAGAGCTAAATTGGCTTAAAATGGTGCAAATGTGGTTGCAGAGCAAAACTTAGATGGGTAAAGCCATAACTAGTGTGGATGCATGGTATAATTTGTTCTTAAAGCGATTCAGCATAACTGAGTGAAGCACAGATGATTATAGTATAAACAAGTTCTTTATGATACTGAGAGAGCCTTCTCTGCTTATGATGCTTAATTAATATGATGTTTATATTATAGTTCTGGAAGCTCCAGGTCACTTTCCCCACATCTTCCCTAAATAATGTGCTATTTCTATGGGAAGCTGAAAGCAGCTTAAACAGCAAAAGTCTGTGTGACTGCTGGAAACTCTGTATGACAAAGGAATGCAGCATTTTACTTGAGGTCACCAAGCCTCCTAAATCTTTGTGCTTCTGCTTAAGTTCATCCACAGTAGCCTTGGATGAATTGACAGTCACATTTGAGACTTCTGGTCAAAAGTCAAATGCGCAGTCAGTTTGAGACAATTCTTCTGTCTTGTGAACTTTGAGCAAGACCATAACTATACAAGTATTTGACATATTGGAGAACAAAACCAGCTTATGTAATGCTTCAAACCAGTAAATATGGTATGTGTCTATTCTAGGGACTGAAAAGAGTAAGAATGCGTTGTAAGAACTCATTAACATATTACGGAGTATAAAACCAGGGTCTACATAACTCTTGTTCAGATGTAGTTCAAAGCAAGCACAAATTCGGGCTTTAGGATAAATGATCTTTTGAGGTCCATTGTCATATAGAAATGGCAGTCAATGAATTATAGGTGGTCCAGTGCTCCTGATTAACTGTCCTTTCTATTTCCGGTCTGATCTCACTCCTACCCTGACACTTTTTTTCCTTAGATAAACCCCCTTTATGGTTGCTGGGGTTTTGGTAACTCAGTAAAGAGACTCTAATTTGAGTCAGTAACAAACTATATTATCCTGAATGGTGCTTAGAGAGCTCTATAAATCCTCTTTTGGGTGTGTCTCAGAACTAACTCCCTGACTACGTGTAGTCATGGAAGATCCAATTACACTTTTAAAAAAAAAATTGTATTAAACTGGTGCCATAACAAAATTTCAACTGAGGTAATTTATTTCTGCCTCCTTTAAGTAAATTAACTGTACAGAAAGAGTAATTGATTTAACCATTTTCTACCCAAAATATCCAATTTTCTTTTTCAAGTACTGTCCCTATGGGCATTTCACTTCAGGTATGCATGCACCTCTGAAACGCTTCATAGGAGATTTCTAGCTAGGAGTGCTCATTAGGCCCACGCATGTGCCCTATACCTCCTTGTGGCAGACACCAAGTCTATATAGGGTGTATGGGCAAACTGCCTCCGTGCCTTCTCTACTGCGTCGGCCCGGGGAAACTAGCATGATCCAATCTAGAGCGTACTCTGCCTTCCTCTTCACTTTTTTTTGTGTTAAAGTTAGTTTAGAGGAATTGTTAGTGTTTGTACAGTTAATTAGTTTTAGGTGAGAGGACCGCCCCCCCCCCCCCCCCCCCCCCCC